AAGCCACAACAGAAGTCCCACAAGAAGTCACATGAAGCATCACTACATGCAAGATATTTCCAAGCTGGATAAAACAAGCATCAGCCTCTTGAATGCTTATTTTAGCCATGCTATGAAAGGGTCATCACTTACTTACAGGGATACTAGGTGCTTTATTTGACAGTGAGAGCCTGGTGTAACCAGCTTTGGGCTCCCAGACAGCAAACCAAGAGTAAATTAGGTTGTTGTTTTGTTTTGTTTTTTAATTTAGATAGGAAGAGCTTGTTATGGCAGCATCACCATGGCCCCAGCCTCACTACACCTCGTTCTCTGGGGCAGCTGCCAAACACCAATGCAGCAGCCCATATGGGAGAGAAGTGGCTGCCGACATATGAACATCAATTTATTTATTTTTTAAATAATAAACGTACTATTTCATTGGTTTCTTTCCCAGTGTTGCCAAAAAAATTACCAGTAAAGAGAACCACTGCACATTAGCAGCTGTCTTTCTGCCCACATAGAGGTTAAATGAGCCCTTGTAAAGGGATAAGTATAGATCTTGCTAAATTACTGCGGAGGTGTGTGTTTGAGGTTTCAGCTGACCCAGCAAACCACAAACTGTGGGTAACAGAAGTGCCACCGCAGCAGTGAAATGGGTCCCCGAGGCACAGGAGAGTTTAGTGAGAGTCCAGATGTATTGAGCACCAGGATATTATTGATGTACCCACTGGAGCTTGGCACTGGGTCATTTAATTGGTTTTGCACTATATGCTCTGTCTTGCCATAAGAAAGAAAAAAAAACACAAAACAAACCTCTCGTATTAAACAAGGAAAAACATGAGCAGGTTTGTATTTTTTTAAAAAGCCCTCTTGTTCTGCTACTGAGGCTGCTCAAGGACCAAACCCCACACATCCCTAGGTAAGTTATTTCTACCAAAGCTGCCAGAGCTGCTTACTCCTACAAGTTTTGAGCTATTTTCTCATGTTAAATGAGCCTTAAGGCTGACCTAACGCATTTAAAGGGAGGGCTTAGATTTAGCCTGGCCGTTTTGATTTGAAACACATCCCTGCGGAAGAGCAGCTCAGGGTCTTGCCTAAGGCGAAGGGGATCTGCATCCAGTCGTCAGCATCACTTTCCTCTGGCTGGTTTTGGGCTGGGTGGCTGTTTGCTGACAGCTGCACCTGATGAAAAACAAAGCCCAGGTTAGTAATTGCTCTGGCTTAGACTGAGCAGCCTGGGCTGCAGGAGAGAGCTCTTGCCCCCGTGCAAATCCCAGCTTAGTGCCGATGGCAGGGAATGAGGGAGGGAGCCTGAGCTCTGACCCTTCCTCCAGCCCCTTCGCAGAGCCCAGTTCACAGTGTGGAATAAATCCAAGAACCCGTTGCATTATCCACCACTCCCTTCTCTGCTTTGCAGTGCAAGTTTGGTAACACATCTATTTTATCGTGACATAGAGGAGCGTAGCAGACGCATCCCAGCTTCATCGCGGCTTGCTGCTGAGAGAAGGAAAGTGCTAATTGCACCATTGCACCAAGGCACCAACATTTTTAACAAAAATTAAAAATTATATAAATTGTCTAGCTGGCCTTTGGCTAAGCAGCCCGCGTGAATAATCTTTCCTGGGGCAAACCAGCAACTGAAAGGGGCAGATGATAATTAACGGTGGCAGCAGCAGCTCTCAGTCATTAGCCTTTGCTCTTGCCCCAACCCAACCGTTAGCTGATGTCTATAATAATTCACAGGCACACACTTAATGATCCGAGATTTGTTTAAAAATAAAAAAGTGTATCCAATCAGGTTTGTGTGCCTTTGAATCAGCCTAAATCACAGGTTCAGAGCCTGCCGTGGGGGATCATTGGCTGGGGCCTGTGTTTATCGGTGAAGCCCCAGCCCACTTAGCACGCAGTAAAAATGCTTAGCAAAGGCCTGCTTGTCCATCAGGCTGGTTTGATTTCTTCTCTGCAGACCACATGTGCTTATGGTTCCCACTGGATTGCCTGCACCCACGCAGAGATCCTGTTTTAACCCAAAAAGCCCACTCGGCTGTGCAGGACCCTGTGGGAGCAGAGCTCTGTGCTGGGGCTTCAGTTTATATTGGCTAAAGCTGCCGCTGCAAAGCCAGAGGACCAACCCTCTTGGATTTCATCAGACCTGGAGACGTGAAACCACATGTTAAATAAATAATACACCCATAAAACCCAGCATGCTGCTGCTCTCTGGTTTCTCTGTTCCTGGTGCCATACACAGAAGGAAATGCCGCTCCCTCTGCCTCCAACTGGCTTGGTTTTCCTTCTGGAGTTCTTGCCCTACCTGATCACCGATCTGCTCAGCATCCTACCTATCCGTGCTGGATACATCCCATTTCTCCTGATTTCTGTTCTCGAGATTTCATTACGGATATTTTCTTCCCCACCACCACCAATGGACAAGACATTTCTCATGATCTTGCCCAGCCTCGTAGGTAGGACTGCATGTCAAATTGAGAGACAGGTGCTAATTCTTGCAAGACATCCAGATGTTTGATGCTCTTCCCCATCTCCTATGGCTTCTTATCATGGTCCATGGGGTTTGCTATGCAGCCATGAGCTCCCACAGCCCAGGGCCTGATGGAACCTGCCCCAACCTGTGGCAGAAGCGTGGTCACAGCTGGTAGCGCTTGCTGAGCCACCCCAGCTCGCTTAGCCGGTGCCATATCCCAATGCCTCCTTTCTGCCAGGGCGGCAGTCAGGAAGTGCTTGGGTCTCCTGAGTACTTAGAATTAGAAGGTCAATAAGAAGTCAACCACTCTTATTAATGATGGTAGAGAAATCGGCCAGCTGCTGCACGCACCCATGTTTTAAGGATGGGAAATTAATTCATGCAGCTGCCATTTGGGCTAATGGCCACCCAAGCTTTGTTTTGGGGAAGACTCACTGTCTTCCCTAGATCCCTCAATACCCATCCTGGTTGCTCCCCCCCCACCTAGCTCAAGCCTGCTCCAGTCCACGGCAGCAAACAAAGCTGGGACAAGCTCTGCTCTTCAAACGTAAATACTTAAAATCCCTTAATAACACGCACAGCAGCTGAGCAGTTTCTGGGGCACAAAGAGGAGGGAAAAGTGATTTCCTTAAGGAGACCTTAACATCACACAGCCTCGTTGAGGTGAAATCCAGTGGTTTTGCTCGCAGCACAAGAGGCTGGTGCCTTTCTGGTAAAGCAGGAGGGTTGCACTGGGCCACGTGAGCCTGTAAAGGGCTCAGGGGATCACAAATAAAAAAATTTAGTTCTTTCCTCTGTTGGTGTTCCCTGCAAACAAATAATTCATGTGAAACAAATGAGATCTGAGAGCCAGGTGATGATCAAGGCCTTTTGCACCGTTGGTGCATCCAGCTCCAGTTTTGGCACCTGCTCGAGTGGAAATTACCTCCCTTTCTGCCACGGTGCAATGTCAGAAAGCCAAGGCTTAAGTGCAAATCGAAACCGGGAAGCGAGTTTGTTTTCCTAGCATTTAACCAAGCAGCTGGATGGAGGTTGACTTTAATCCCAGTGCTTATCTGCATCAACTTCTTCCTTGTCATAAGATCTTCAAAGGAGGAGTTAACAAAGCACTGTTAAACAGACCATGGATCCAGCATCACCGAGGGAACTCTAAGAGATCTTTCACCCCTCTGAGCCTCCCCATCACAACCTGGTTGGGTTTTGTGCAATGTTTTGGGTCTAAAAACAGCACCCAGGAGTTTGCCTGCTCTCACACTGGGTCATAGCCAGGTCTCCGTAGCCAACCTGTGGCCATGGGCACCCAGTACAAGAGAGCAGAAGAGTTGCTCCGGGTTTGGAGACTCTCTTGTTAACTGGCACACAACCGGTGGGTGGCTTTGGAGGAAAGCTCTTGTTTTCCCCCTTGTTTGAAATAACATTCTCTGGGGAGTCATCTCTCATGGGCAGCTTGGAAAAACAAGCCCAGAGGAGATAGCAAGCAGCATCTCAGCCCCAATCCCTCCACAGCATTGTGTTATATTGTCTGGCCAACAGCTTAGCCCCAGGTGTAGATGCAGTTGCTTTCTAAACCAGGACAAATGCAGGGATCTGATGACAGGACATCAGGACAGCCCTGCCACAGTTCGGTCTGTGTTTGCTGCTGAAGACCATGTAACGCCTGTTAAGCTGGTGCTTTGCTGCCTGCAGCAGCTGCGTTGCCCCTCCGGACAAGGTGCCCTATGGCAGTGGTTTGGGACTCGCTGCCTGCTGACTCAAAGGCAGGCAAGCTAGTGGGCCACAGAGAGGTGAGAGACAGACAAGTGAGTCACTAGAAATAACTCCATACCCTTGGCAGAGTGGTCATGCACAGCAGATCATCATCTGTACCTTCAGATGCTGCACCTGCACTGGAGCAGAGTGCCTTGAGCATCGGCATTGCTAAGAGAAGCAGCATTAGTGCTGGTTTGCATTTTCAGCCAGAAGAACCACGATGTCCTGAGAGAACCATTCCCCAGCTCAGGATGTAGTAAAAGGCAAAAGCGTTTCCACAGCTGGCTGGTTTGGCGGGAGGCTAATGCATGTGCCACCACACCGGAGGAGACGTGTGAGCTCACCAAGCTGACATGAGCAATCAGCATGCACGGGGCTCTTTCTGCCTCCTAATTCACTCAGAATAATTCATTAGCAAAAAGTCCTCAGCAGTGCTCGTTTGACGACGGGTCCTGATTGTAGAGGTGTTCTTTGATTCGCTTTAGAAGATAAATTGACCAGTGACATTCCAGTCTAGCTCATGCCAATGAGTCTCTGTAGGACCATCATGAGAATTTATTTAGTTATCTAAGGATTTCTCCATAGTGCTCATCTGCTTGGCAGCTAGTCTACAGAGACATAATAGGTCTAATGCTCCTGGCCTCTACAGAAGAGGTGGTCATCCCCAGCTGAACATCCTACCTGAATAACTCCTGTTTTTGCCCCTCCAAGAGTGGCCAGGGTGCCCAAAGCGATGCCACCAAGCAGAGATGTCCCTCCGCATTTACATCTCTCCCCTTTTCTTCCTCTGCAGCTTGAAAGCTGTCCTGATGGGGAAGCCTCAGGACAACACAGTGGACTTGTCGGGCATCCCACTGACGCTGAAAGACTTGGACCGTGTCACGTCCTACCTCCAGCACAGCTCGGAGCACATCGACACGGTGGAACTGTGCTTCACGGAGCTGACGGACGACATGCTGCTGCAGCTGCTGCCAGCCCTCTGCGTGCTGCCCCACCTCACCACCCTCTCCCTCAACGGCAACCGGCTCACCAAAGCCATCCTACGGGACCTCACCGAAACCCTGAAGGACCCCAAGAAGTTCCCCAGCGTCACCTGGATCGACCTTGGCAACAACGTGGACATCTTCTCCTTGCCGCAACCCTTCTTGGTCAGCCTAAAGAGACGATGCCCAAAGCAAGGCAACTTGCCAACCATTCTGGAGTTCGGCGAGGGTCAGGTAAGTGACTTGGAGAGCCAAGATGGCCCGGCTGAGAGCCAGGAGGACCTGCGAGCTGGACCAGGCAAGACTGATGACATAGGCTTGCAGCAGATGGCCAGAACAGTTGAGCCTGGGGAGCTCCCCAACTCAGAGCAAGGTGCTGCGACATCCCAGACATGATGTCTGCCTCCAGGGCTCTTGGGTAGGTGTGTTGAGCAAAGATGATTTAAACCCGAGACCTCAGCGTTGGAGGTCCCGGCAGAGGGTTGATTCACACAGTGGGATGGTTCGGGGGTCTGAATTGCTGCCTTCCTCCCGCACGATGAATGTCAACCTTTTTCTTTTCAAAGAACGCATAAAGGTGATCGCGTTGAATATTTGTATTTTATAAAAGCTGGCTGGGTATTTTTAAACGTTAGTGATGTGCTGTGCTTTTTAACCGCCCAAAAACGCACCTCCAAGGCGATGTACTACGAGACCCTACGAAGAGCACAAAAGGGGAGAAGAAAGGTGCCCAGACTTGGCAGGGAAGGGCTCCCTTAGTGCTGGATCTACCCAGATCCCAGCCGCACTCCCACGCATGGTGGACGGACAACGGTCACCCCAAAGAGAACTGCTGCCGAGACAAACCTTAAACCCTTTCCGATCCTGACGTCAGGCGTTATCTGCTGAGACACAGCAGAAGTCCGACCACGCGCTAACCAGGGGTGTTTCTCTTAATGTTGTGAGCCAGCCCGAAGGGAGAGCTTTGCTTTCCTGGTGTGGAGCTAATTCCCAGCCCGCCCTCACCCTCCAGCCTTACCGAAATCAGGCTGGCACTTGTGCCTGCCCAGTATTTATTGGGATGTAAAATCCTGTTTCCCACCAGCCGCGCTGCTCTAGCAACTCCAGAGATTTTTAACATGGTACCTGGAGCTTGCCCCAGCAATGCTGAGAATGTTTGATCTGTTTTGGGGAGCAATCCGCAAAATCCGGAGCCAGGGCTCAGCTCAGGTTCATTGCTGTTGCTGACAAAAGAGACCACAATACTGAAGGTTTATAAAAGAAAAAATAATCCTGGGATTCATCCCCGTGTCACTGCCACCAAGGGCTGGGTGGACACGGCCAGCTGGAGATTTAAAGCCTCAGAAAGGCTGTTGGGTCACTTGGCTGTGTCCATTGCCCCCGGACCAGAAGTGCTTTGTTTCTAAAAGGTTGGTTTTGCATTTTTTTCTAAGAAACATGGTTTTGATTTTATTTTATTTTTGATGGAAAAATGGATCACCCCAGAGCAGCCGCGTTGGAACGTACACTTTGGCTTTTGAACCAGAATTTTGTTTGATCCTAAACTTAGGACAGGGCAGGAAAGTGTGTAGAACTTTCTCTCCTTTACATTCAAAGGACCAAACTAAGAGGGAGCACCTTTCTACCTGTTGAAGGCCCTTCCCCTGACCAGCTTTCCAACATCGTTTTCCAGCAGCGACCCTCTGGCTTGGCTTTTTCTGGGTGCAAATGCTGTCAGACGTTTGGTCGGCTCTTTGGCTCCGCTCATTTAACATCACTGCACCAGGAAGCTTTTTCCAGAGGGGCTTCACACTGTCGGTGGTTATTTCTCCTCTGTACACAAGTAGATAACTTAGAAGAAACTCTGCTACTCGTTTTAATACATTCGGCAACATTCAGTATGATTTGCATGTATCCAAGCCTTTTTTTTTTTTTTAATGCTAATTCTTTCCAACAGGCATGAAAAAACCTTTGCAGTGAATTAACTGTTCTGTTTGAAATAAAGGAGTTATCCATAATCGAAATAAATGACAATGTTTAATAAAGACCCAGCATTGAATTTGTTCCTCCGTACAGGTCGAATGCCCGAGCTGGCAGCCCAGAGAATTCCAGGAAAAACTACAACCAGAGGAGAAAGCAGTGCTGGGCGCTGCAGGCCTGGGTTCTCCAAGGTGCTTAAAAAAAAAAAAAAAGTGACTGTAGCTGGCTGGAGAAATAAATAGCCCAGTTTGTGGGCTGGATTCTGCAGGGTGGGCATGAAGTGGACACAGAAGCATCACAAAAGCCTCTTTAAATTTCAGATTTTGCCAGTGCACAAAACTAACGTGGGGGAAAGGAATGCTGAGAAGGGTGTGCTGCTCCACGGGGTGTTATGTCCAGTGTCACAGTCTCTGGGCACTGAAGGAAATGGCTTTTTAATTGCAGTAAGCACTATATAGTGTTCCTGCACCCAAACCACAACAGGGGCTTGCACAGGAGCAGATGTGCTGGTGGGAGCAGGTTTTTCCTTACTCACAGGAGACCTTCCCTGCAGCACTCAGAGACTATTCCCACCATTACTACAACTTTAGTAAAATACCTTTAGTAGAGGTATAAATAAAGCAAGATGCGATACACCACATCTCGGCTGCATCCGTAACCATCAACCTCTCCTTGGGGGAGGTTGAACTTCTCTCCCCCTCCCCAGGAGCCACACACAGGGGTCTCCTTGCGAGACAGAGCCTATGGCACCTATGTTTTGTTCGTATGGAAAGGCTGACAGGCAACACGTAGAGCCTGTGCCTGCACCCAGGGTGGGCAACGAGACCTGGGTAGCAAATCCACCATCACTGCGTCATCCGCTGCACACAGACATCACCCTGCTGTGCCCGTAGTACATCCCTCCTGGAATATGTGAATTCAATGTATGGGGATTTCATCAAGAACAAGATTTCTCCTTGAAAAAAAGATACTGCAGTGATTTCTCCCATAAGAGGTCAGGCACTGGTTTGCTCAGTACCTCAGTACTCAACACCGGGCTCCCCTCCTTCCTATGCACAGCTCAGGCCTCTCTCTCTGTTTAAATTATTTCAATCACCAGCTCCTTGCTGCAAGGTTTTTATTTTCTGCTCAGTATTTGCCCGGGAGTCAGCCCTCCTGGACCTCAGCACCCACCTGGACCCCCTCAGTTTGGCTGCACAAATTCATAAACCAGAGGCACTTTTCATTTCGAGTGCTGCATCATTTATTGATGCTTTACACGCTCAATTCCCTCACTGACACCAACCACCCACGAGGTTCCTTCTGCCACGTTTCCCCTCCAGCCGAGCTTCTACCTGCTGTGAAACACACTCATCAGCCAGGAGATAATTTGGATCTATCAGGCTCATTTCTGCACGGGGCTACCAGCTGCAGAGGGCTGAACACGAGGCTCCATGCCCAGTGCCGACACAGATTTGCTGCGAATCGGGAGCACCCGGTCTCAGCTGTCCCCCGCTCCTGTGAAACGCTGCAGTTGGGTCCCTCACGGAATCATCCAAGACCATTTTGCAAAGGACAAGCCTCCGGAGAAAGACCTCCACATCCCTCAGCCCTTTGCCCCATGCAGATGTTGCACCGCTGGAGCTGGCTCTGCTCTGCTGATTCAGACAGTATCTCTGTGCCCAGTGAGGGTTCAGCCCTTCTGAGAAAGCAAAACAACTAGAAAGGGCCTTTTATCAATACATTTGTGCATGCTGATGCTTGCACCAAATTACTGACTTTCACAGGAAAAGAAAAAAAAAAAACAACCCAGGTCTAGTGGCGACAGTTATAAAAACAAGAGGGCTTTAGCTAATCAGTCTCTCCCTCACGCTGTGGATTAGGTCAATTAGCCATTTATTGCACTTCAGGATGACAAGGATCCTGTGGACTCTGTAAAATGTTTTTTTCTTTTAAGAAAGCAGGATGGGATTTGCTTCCCTTCCCGGCTCATCAGCATCAAAACAAGCTTGGAGCTCACTCCATATATAATCCGGGTTACACTGGGCTAGTTATTCTGGTCAGGAGCTTTAAATGGCTCTAGAAGAAGGAGTCAAGTACTGAAAATTACTGCTGTTAGAATTATTAAAGTTGATTGAGGTCATCTGGTGTCAAAGAGGGGGAGGAAACGTCCGCCGTAAAATCAAAGAGTCCATAAAACATCCGTGCCCGGTTTGGTTAGTTATCTCCACCAGCACCGCACAGCTCTGCCTGTGCAGGAAAGAAACTGTTCTGTGGGAGAAGATTTATGCCTTCAGCAACAAAAACATAATTGGAAATCACTCTGCACAGTTTGAAGAGCCCACACCGAGGGGAATCAAAACAGCGGGCGAGGAATGAGAAAGGCATGAAAGGGCTGATGCCACATGCTCCGGAGGGCTTGTTCCAGCTGGGTTATCTCAGAAGAGTTTGCACAAGCCCTGTTCAGGTTTTTAAAGGTGTTTATTCATTTAATAATGAGGGTTACGTTCCTGAGGAGGGTTGGGAGCCAGCAAGAGGACTGGTGATGGTCACCCTCTAGCAGGGACTGTGCTGGAAAGCCACTGTTGAGGACATCAAGAAGCTCAAAACCACTTTGGCCAAAAGCATCGGTTGCTGCAAACCAGTCCTTCGGAGAGGAGCAAAAGACTGCAAGTGTCTACCCAAAACTGCCCAAACACCTACCCAAAACTGCTGCAGAAGAGAGGCAAAAAAGGGACCCAAGGGACTAAGGGGACCCAGGGGTAGGCAGCAGCAGCTGAGCCGGGGACAGGGCTGCCCCAGGCAATGGAACCACGTTGGGTTATCACACTGCGGCCGACTTTGCACTCGGACACAAACGTTCCATCGCTTCCCTATGGCTCAGCACACCTCGTTTCAGCAACAGGAGAGGAGGCGGCTCCTGAAGTCGTGCCGGGACCAGTCGTGTCCTCAGAAACACAAAGGCTCCCGTGTTCCATTAACCGGGAGCACATCACTGGTAGCTGCTATTGCCAAGGAAACCGATTGACCTTATTAGCAGTGTTAATGCTTATGAGGAAGGGGAAAAACAATGAACCTGACCTCTCCAGTGTAATGTACCCAGGTGAGCAACAGGTTTAATCTCTTCCCAACCTCTTTGGTACATGGACGTCGTCCTGGAAACATCGCACAGTGCTCCCACTTTTCCTTCGCTCCGGGGTCAGTTGAGTTTTTACCTGCCCAGGGGATGTGTTGCACCAGCAGATTATACACAGCAAGAGGAGATGATCTTTCCAGCTCTATGAAATATCTTTAGCATTAAATTCTGAAGGATAAATGGGAAACTAGATCCATCATTCACAGTCCTCCAATAGCCTCCAGCAATGAGTCTCGCTGCTTCATACAAGCGGGCTCCATCTTCGAGAAATATTCTCAAATGCTCAACAGCTGTAAGCAAAAGAGCTGACGACCCTGCAATA